ATTAAGCCTGGAGTTTCAACTGCAGAGCTGAGCTAAGAAGGATATGACTTTTCGGGGGGCAGAGAGTTCATGAGTGTGCTGACCATAAAGGCACTTGATGCAGGAGTTAAAAAATGAGTTCTGTAGATAATTTTACTCAAAAGTTTGAAGTTGATTGTTAAATAGGCATTCAAATCCTTTTTGGCTTTGAAATCTTGAATCATGAATCTATGTCTTGGACGTTGATTAATCAAAGCATGTTTAGAGTTTTGCTAGCAGCCTTCCATAGGGAGGCTACATATGTAGTGTACGTAGAGTCTTGGAGAAAAAATTACGGGATGCATACATCTCAGTATCAGACTGTATTTTTTATTTTTGATCTCATGAATCTTCATATCTCTGGAGAAACCATCTAGAGTTGAGTGTTGTTGCTCTGGCTGAAAAAAAAATATGTTTTTTCTTTATAAATGCTGAACAAAATTTCATATACCATTTCTTAAACACTCAGGAAGATGAAAAGTGAGAATGAAAGGAAAAGATAGCTATTATGATTGGTGAACATCAAAATTAATACTTGGATGAAATGAGGAGTTGTTGGACTGAAAAGCTAGCGTCATTTGAGATACTTAAGACTGCAATCTATCTCTGAAAATATGGATGTGGAGGTGGATCATTTTGAACTTTGTCAATACTGTGTGTATCTGCACAGGATCAGCACAGCTTGTACTGGCAAGTAGACAAGAGCACATATAGCACTTAGGGAAGCAGCTCTTGATATGAAGGATGAGGCTCTCAGGCTGCATTAGTTTAAGTAGCCAGATCTGTGAGGATTTTAGATTTCTCTGTAAAATACAGCAGTAGCCCTTAAAAATTTCCATAGAGTACTGTCCTATGTGAGCTGCAAAAATGTGACTAAGTAAAACACATTTCTAATCTCCAAATTCTCGTAGTAAAGTCGGTTCTAATATTAAATACTCCTACCTGCCATATCTGACTGTATTATTCAAACCATATATGCAGAGGGACAGCACAAGTTATTGTGTGTTGCTGACAGCTCTTTCCAGTGACCACTAGAATAATGCAACTCCTTGAAGCAGACAATTTCACATCCACTGCCTGCAGAAACTCTGTGGTAGGGATTGCAGTGCTGTTGCTCCATGGCCACACACCTTGCTTCTAAAAGTGCCTGAAGATATGCAGCAGGGGCTGAAAATCACAAATTACAATTTTCTGTGGTTGGGACTCAGTGTAGCAAATATCTTTGGGAAGTTGTCTTTTTGTCTTCAGTGGTTGATACCAATCAAAAGTGGTCCAAAAAAAAAAAAAAAAAAAGTGGGGAAAAAAAAAAGTGAAGAGAACACTGATCTTGTTTCTTTGAGACAAATGGCATCTTATTGGTTTCATTTTTGAAAAAGGATTTCAAAAAGTGCACAATTAAACATTTTAATGAGTAAATGAGTTCTCAATGAGCATTCATTTTTTTTAGTCCCATTTTGGTAAACATTTTGAAGTTTGTAAACAAACTTGAAAGCGTGAACGTGAACACTATTAAAAATGCTTCAGAAAAAAAGGAATAGCTTTTAATTTAAAATTTAAAATAATGCTTGAAAATTGTTGCCAAGTTCTACTCAGAATGAACTGAGATGAAATGCTCTCCTTTATTAAAAAAGGTGTAATTACTGTACATGTTGTTTGACATTAAAATGTACGCATTTTTTCAATGCTTCCGTAATTACAATTGTTGCTTGCTTTTTAAAAGTTAGGCCCTGTAATGTGCATAAATGAGTGGTGACTCTTTAATGACAACTACAGTAATGATTTCCTGTTCCCAAGATAACAAACATCTTCATCACATCAAAGAACTTTGGCACAAAGTGAAACATAAATCTGAAGGCAATTCTCTAAACTAAGGCTCCGGGATCTTAATAGTCACAGTTGACTGTCTGGTTTTCACTTTTGTGTGACATTTCTGATTGCAAGACGTGACAAATGACTACAAAGAGATCTTGTATTTCATTGAACCATAAGATGGCTTCATGTCGTTGTCAATGGAGTAATAAGGCTTTTTCAGCAAATGGAATTCTGTAACTTTATTCTCAAGCAATCAACTCAGCCTGCAAAAATGATGAGGAGAACATGGAATGGATGGTGCACATGAAATGTCTGAGAGGGGATCTGCCAATGACTGAAAATATCATTCAAATATCATTTTCTCCTATATAGCATAAAATAGGAAGGGGAAAAAAAGACCTGAAAGCAATGGCCCATCTGGTTTAGAAGTGTAGTACCAATTGCCTAAGATACAAAACTTGAGATGTGCAGCCACAGAATGATCTGTACAATAAAACAATTATTCTTTAACTCATGATAATTAGAATATGTTTTATGTGCCAGAACTTGAGGTTTTCAGCTTTTTCAAACTTCTACTGCTGTTCCCTAATATCTGCTGTTAGAATACTCGTTTAACCAAAGGAAAAGCATAGCAGAATAATTTTCTTCTGACAAACATAACAAGCTTCACAGAAGCTTGCACATCCTTCCTGACTTATGCCCCTTGAGCACCTCTAGTCTGAATTCTTGTTCTATTCAGCCTTTTCTCCCTCCTCTCCCCAAAAAAGAAGATGCAGTGACAAAGAGGCTATCTAAGGTGAATAGATCATCTCTGTTTGTGTCTGTCCATATTATTAATGGTTGAATCTTCACATCTTTCCTTACTAATTTAAAAAAAAAAAAAAAAGAAAACATGTAGGCTCCAGCCAACATGACAGTCAAAAACCAGGAGAACACGAAGGAATAAAAAGTTTATGATGAAGAATGAGTTTCTACCCGTGACAGTTCACTGACAGCATATTCTTTTTATGTATCTGCTCCTTGCACTATCCTTTATCTTCAAAAATACTCACCAAACAATTCAGGGGAGGCAGTTGGCATGGTTCCTAATGAAACAAGATAAAGTATTCTGTAATGATGATGACAGCAAATTCACTAAATGTACTGCAGCTTGTGAACTCTGCAAATTGATCAAACCAAGATTCCTTGATTGCTTACTTAATTGACTGTTACACTTTCTCTCCTGACCCTCTGTAGCCCAGTTGCTTTTCTCAGCACTTTGGCAACATATGGACTCCCTGTTTCCTCCTCTAGTTATGAATACTGGAAGAAATGAAGGCCCAGCTGGATGTGGCCCTCGGCAGCCTGGTCTGGTGGTTAGTGACCCTGCACATAGCAGGGGGGTTGAAACTAGATGATCATTGTGGTCCTTTTCAATCCAGGCCATTCTATGATTCCTTGCATCGGCCTAATGACCTTGAAGAAGGAGCTGTCTTAATTAACTTCTTGATAGAATGGATATTAATTGAAGAACTATCCTACCAGATGCTGAGTACCCTAAGCATTTTTGTAACTCTGGGAAGTGTAGTACTGTGCTTATTTAGCACTCCTGCCTGCAAAAGATTTTTTGTTGGAAATGTACAGGACAAAAACGTATTTCAGCCAGTGGTACAACTCATTGTTTTGGAGAGACTGTTACTTCATAGTGATGTGATCCCTTAGAATTGTGGTTCTGTTTTCTTGGCAGAAGCAAAGAAATTTCCAAATTTTGTTAAAATCTTAGTGATGATTGTCTATTGTAGAGATTTCTTCATACTGAGAAAAATGAGTCATTAGTCAAACTAGTCTGCTTCAGGTTGGCCATTCAAGTCTTTCTGAAACTTGCTTCATTGGGGAAACTTCCTCTAGGGAAACTGGGGGAAAGAGGGATGCCAGTTTTTGTGCATGCACAACATTGGGAATGAGGAATTATTCCTGCCTTGTGCAGAGCGATTGCTGCCTTCTACAGGAGAGGCTTAGATGGCATTTAAAAAGCGGTGAAGATGTGCTCTGCTTATGCTCAGTCTGCAAATCTTCTGATCCTTCCAGATGAAAGATACCGGGAATTTTGCAGTAGTATTTACGACCTCAACTCAGCAAACATTATGTATATCAATTTTAAGTGTAGTGCTCTGATGCCTGAAGAATTGAAGGGGCTTGCGAAAAAATTTACAAGTGTCTTACAAATGGCCTATTCATAAGTTCCCCTGGGTATGTTCCAGTCTGTGTAACTCATGTATTTGCTGTGCGATGATGTGTGAATGTGCAAATAGTGGTTAAAATGCGCTCATAAAATTAAGGGGTAAAGAAAAAGATAGTCTTGACCTTGTAACAACCAAAAATGATGTCCAAATATATTGCTGTGTGTTTTGCTAATGGTAGCTCTTAGAAGCTTACCAAGAGAGCATTTGCTTACATTTCTGTTACTGTCAACCAAGTAACTGTCTCCGAGAAAGAAGAAGGAAGGTTCTGATCCATGTGTTAAGTCAGTCTGATTTTTATTTGTTAACAGATAGCTGAAAAATTGTAAGCTTGTTTTTACTAATGATGTGGGTTCTCATAGGCAATATCCTCCAGAAGAAAAATATTGATAAGCAGAAAGGAAGAGCTGGTTGTGTAAAAATAGGACTAAAGCATAAAGATGTCTCCCTGGATGGAGGACATACCTGAGCTCAAGCTTTTCTGCTAGACAAAATAGCTTATTTTCATTTGGAGTAGTAGAAGTGACAGGAAAGCTGAGAACTAAAATTGTCTTTTATCTTGACAAGACTTAAGTACTTGTCCAAGTAATAAATAATGTATATGCATGTGTTTGTATATGTGCATCTGAAATATCATTATGTGGATGTGTGTGTATATCACTCCCCTATTGAATGGGAACCTTTGAACATTCTTATTTCCTTAGGATTTCACATACTTTAGAATAAGAACAACATTCATACTTATTAAAGCAGTGCCTACTCAAGTTCATGAAGGCAGCTACCTTCATGCCTGAATTTGAGCACAAACTCAGGACCAAATGCAGTAAATTTTCACATGCTAGGCAGCAGTGAATCAAAAGGTTTTATTCCAGCAGTGTTTCAAGAAATGCTGTTATCTATAAAAGGTTTTCCCTCTGTTTATGTGAAACATTTTCTGTATCTCTTTTTAAGCCATCTATGAACAATCATGTGAGGCTTACCGGCACCAAGGGAAGACGTCAGATTTCTTCTACATTGATTCTGATGGAAGTGGACCACTTGGACCGCTTCGGGTTTTTTGCAATATAACAGGTAACATGTTTAACATGTAATGTTAAAGACTTAACTCTGCACTTGGTGCTTTATGTGGGCTCTAATGTTATTGTCATGTCTGTCATTGTGTTTATGAAGAAGATGCCAGAACCATTATTCCTTCAGTAGTGGAAAAAACAGAGAATTGGTAGTAACTGAGGTTTGGTTTTGGAGTGTTTCCTTAAATAGGATCCAAGCAAAATTGATTTCTAAAACTTAAGCTTAAAGGGTTCACTTCCTCCTGTTATTACTAAATGATATTAACAATGGTATTTGCACCTTGTAAAGGGCACAGCATAATATCATAACTTTTAGTGAGATGTCTGTGGTTTTTACTAAAGATCTGGAGACTTAGAATTCAAGCTTTCTTCAGTAACTGAGTAGGTCTTTTGCTTTAGTCAAACACTACATGTGGAATTCAAATCAAATCCTGCAGAAATAAATCCATTACATGGAATCTGGACCATTCACTTTCCAGACTAGCATACAGCTTCCACTAAAAGCAGAGGGTCTACTTGTGCCAGAGTCTTGAAATAGAACTGTGCCTTTGTAAATGGGGCGATAGAGAGAAGCACAACAATAAACAGATTTTGTTTAAATAAAAGGAAATTGTTATTTCTCATCGTAGCCTGAGATCATTGTTGAGACATGGCAGAAAAAGAGCTGCCTGTGGTCTTTCCAGATATTTAGCTGGCACTACATGTATCAGAACAGGAGGTTCACAGACACACAAAGTGGATCTTTGTTCACAATTAGAGAATGAAAGTCCTTGCCTTATAAACTGGTGATGATTTTAAGATCCTTGTACTGAGCTGGCTGTTGATTTTTCCAGTCTAGCCCTAACAGGAATTCTTTCCCTCATGTGAGTGTGCTGCTTTTGGTGTTTAACAGTGTCACAGAGTTAACTAGATCAATCTATGCCCATGACAGGAGGGCAGTAGGCCCCTGCCACCCCCCCCTAGCCCGACAAAATTTGGGAAGGAAGGAAAGAAAAACAGCGGCAACGATCTATGGAGGAAAACTTATTTTACTAACTATGATATCGGAATGTAAGATAATACAATGTAATACAATCTAATTGAAATTGAGACTAATAAATCAAATAAGATAGGAGAGAGAGCCTGAAACCGAGTCAAACCTGAAAAGCTTGGAACGGCTTGGAGGAAAGCACCCTCCAGCACCCACTGCAAGGCAGTAAGAGACTGCCCCATCCAGAAGGGCCAGATCCCATGACTTCTGTGATATATAGGGTTAGGTACCTGGAGTTGGAGCATTAACACTTCAATTCCCAGTGCACTACCTGATGCGGAATATTGAAGACCAAGAAATAGAAAACCGTGACAAAGAGAATGCCTTCGTCTTTGTGTATAGATGAGGAGGAATGATGCTGTCAGGAGGAGGGTCACCGAAGTAAGAGAGAAAGTGCAGAGCAAGTGCCTGGAAGGGTGACCTATTCGTTAAGACACCTCAAACTTATAGGTCTGTAGTTTTAAAATAAATGAAATCAAATGAAAATCCCTATCTGGCAAAGTCTCCCTACCAGTAACTGGTGCCTGCTTTGTATGTAGGGTTGTCTTGCAAAGGCATGAGGAAGTACTGTAACATAAGCTATATTGTGGATTGCGAAATATCATAGAGCCTTGTTTCTGCAATACAGTGGAAATTTCCTGCACTTCTTCCTATATGACTTTCTGTGTTTCCTGTGGCCAGGCGAGAGTGAAAGAATATCTTATTATCTAAATTGCTAATTCTGCATGAGTATAGTTTGCTAAATATATCAATCCAGAAAACAAAGCACTCAGAATATTCATTTTTCCTTAATCTCCTTGTACTTAGAGTGTCTCAAATTAAATTTTTATTTTGATTTAATTGAGCAATCATTATGTTCATTAAATGCACGCTAGTTAATTATTAAATATGTTTTTCATTCAAGTGTAACATATATTTAACAAGATTTGTTGTCTTTGCTGTCATTGGATTTCGTAAGCATTGGAACTGTTTCACCTTTCTGTCTGAATATCCTTCCTTGATCTCTAGTGTGGGAAATGTGCTCATTTTTATTATTTATCAGATAAATATCTGTGATCAAAACATTGTCAGTACTTTTTATGTCTGCTTAAAATGCAGAATTTTTGACAAACTCCTTGCAGAAAGCACCTGTTTTCTTCAAATAAATTTTATTTGGCAGAAATCCAGAGGGCCTGATTTTCTCTCTATAATGAACTTGCTGACATTCTTATTTTATTTTGGTTACGAGAAAATTGAAGGTGGGGAAAACTGACAGAACCTGCTAGCCTGGAAAATTTTATTCTACGTATTTCTCCTTTTCCCCTAGATATCTCATTTAAAATAGGGGAAGGTCATTTGTCTTTGATACCTCTGTTATTCCTACTGCATAAAAGAGGACCAAGGCACAGAAAAAGAATTACTATTTTTTTAATTATCTAGACAGCTCGTGGTACAATTGGATTATGTTTTTGTATCATCAAAATATATGGAGGCTTCTCCAAAAGTAATGTCTTCTATTTTATTATTTTGGCCCACAATGTCAGAGGCAGGTATTAGTGGTATAGCAATGTGGTTTCCATCAGTATTCTATTACATGTTGTTGCTGTGTAACAGATGGCAGCACAGGGCAGTCTGACGTGCAAGTGCATATAAAGCAAACAGGTGGAATGGAATTCCTCCAAAAATGGCAAGGGTTGATATTCATTGATGTTTGGTGAATGTTTATGGAGACCAAGCAGTGGGTATGAGCATGGTGAGGTGATGGGTGGTGAATTTCAGCAGTGGTGACAGTGAGTTACCTCCACTGTTGTAGGTTTTTATGAGTGTGGCATACGGGATCTTGTTGTTGTTGCTGAAAATGCATAGCTAATGCTGGTGACTCTGTTGCAAAACAGAGTTTTGTAGCTGAGAATTTGTGCTATCAAATGGTGTTATTATGCTCTTTGTAGCTGTTGTCATTTTCATGGAAATAAATAGGAGTCGTTACTTTTGGTGTAACCTATGTAGTTTGGGCGCCTTAATCACAAAAACTTTATTTTCCTGGGAACTTCTGCAGATAATAATTAAATGTGTACAGTAATAGACTAAGTACAGGACAGTGGAAAAAAATAACTTTTATCTTTACCCTCAAAGACATAGATTCAGAATTTTGTTATTACTTTCAGATTATATTCCTGTATAGATTTCTGAAAGTATAGATATTCAAGGAAAGTGAATAAGCTCATTTCGATCTTGTTATATTAAGGAAGAAATAAAGGAGAGGACCACATTACCATTCAGTGACATACTGCAGATACTATGCATGGAAAAATACAGATAGTCAGAAATGTGGATGGCTATCGTGCATGGAAAAAGTAAATAGACTGAAGAGACGATGAAGGGAACTGCCACAGGAAAGCATGGAAGATATAAGTGTGAGGAAGAAAGAAAAAAATAAATTGATTCCTTCTCATAATATGGGAGCTAAGGAACTATTCAGTTAGCCGGATTTAAGTATTTATTATTACTATTCATATTTTTATTCTTGACACAACCAACAACTCAATTGTGACTGTGTATGTTGAGAAGGAATTGAACAGTCAGACACAGGGTAAAGAGGGAGAGAGAAATAAGAGAAAGGAAATTCTGCAGGGAGGGGAAAAAAGGAAAAAAGAAAATGTATAGAGCCAATTTTCAGCATGGCAAAAATTTAACAGTATAGTGTCACAGGATATCTGCTGATAGAGTGGATAAATATATTCACTGTCTGGAGAAGTAGCTGAAAAAGCAAAGTGACAAAAATTGTAGGTGACATGCTGTTATTTAAGTTGGTCAAGAATAGGGAAGAATATGTGAGGCACTTCAGAAGGATATTGTCCTGAAGGCTGTTTATTTCAAGTCAAAGTAAAATACCTCTTTGAAAATAGGCAGTGATCAAGAATAGTAATAAGCCTAATTAAAGTCATAGAAAGACATCTGTATAAAGAGAGGCTAGAAGTAAATAATCCATGGCTATTTAGATTAGAAAGACTCAAAGTGAATGGGCCTCACTTACAGCAGTGATGTTCATTTGCATTTTCTTACAATAGAAATAAAGAGATAATTCAATGACAGTGAAGGACGACAAACTTAAGACTAGATTAAAAAAAAAAAAAGGACAACACCTTATTAACATATTGTTTTCTTCACCTTTTATACCCATTACACCCAGAGCAAAATCACTTTAATAGAGTAATTCAATAATTGTAATAAACAAGGAGTGTTCTACACCATCTATGTGCATATTGAAGGAAGAAAATCAGGCATGTGTACCCAAACCATGAGAACGTGTAGGTAGATGATAGGAGAGGCAACATGAGGGAAGAGTTTTTCCCTGTAATATGATTGCTTGATGATTTGCCCAATCGAATTAATTTTTACTTCCTGCTGAAATGGCTGATAACAATCAGTATCAGAAAATGGCTAATGGACCACCTCAACCTCTCATGCTATCATTGTGAGGCTTATTCTTTTTCTCTTGCTTAGAAATCTATTGATGTCTTCATCTCCTCTGGAGTAGTTTTTACCTTTGATCTCTCAAAGATTTGCTTACAATATACTGAGTCATTCTGTTGTCTTATTTTTTTACTTATACTGGTTCACTGTGTGCATACCCTGGGCTATCCAATCAATAATGCTTAGAAATCACTACGAAAAGTTCAGTGCTTAATTTTATCTTGGCCAGATATTTATGCAGTTCTCAAATGGCTTTCTCCTTTTCCTCCAGAAGTTCAAACTGAAGAGAGATGAGTCCTAGTCTTAGCCTTTGCTGCTGGTCAAAGGTCTGTTCTTGAAAATACTGTAATGAAAAAAACAAATCATTAATGAAAAAATCTTTTCTGGTTTTACATTCTCCTCTGAAAATGCAATTACTGCTTATTTTCCTGATGCAAGACAAGTAAAGCTTTATCTTCTCTATTACAGACTGTTATATGCAAAATGTGTTTATATCTCGATCCAGTAAGGAATTGTAA